TACATAATCTATCAAAAAAGAAACTAAATGTATACTCTTATTTATTTATACACTCTATCCATCAACATGTGTACTATCGTTCATAGATTAGAACAATATCGGTATCAAAATCAGTTATTCTTTTAGCGATTACATACAGGTAGACTATAATCATTTATCTAGCTAATTAATGCTCGTTATATAAAATAAACCAGTTGGAAATTAACAATATCTAATTAAACATATAAATTATTTGTTCAAAATTTTTTCATTCTTTATAGTAACAGTATATAGAGGCTTAGTACGTCAGTATAGTGACAAGAAATAATAAAAACTTTAAATAATCACTAAATATTTAATAAAAGAATGTAGAATTTAAAATGTCGTAAATAATCATAAAACATTCTATCAATCGAAAGTTTAGCAATAAACCCTTAAAATTGAAATTACCAGTAAAGTTCAGCCAAACACCTGCCAAAAACTAATGGGATATATGACTCGAATGATAATGTTCCAGATGATCTACATTATAGTTTGTAATGTTACCAGTTGATTTATGGAAAGCTAAAAAAAAAAAAAAAAAAGTTTATTATAATAAAAAAACATAACTTTAAACGTGTTTGAATAATAATAGTAATAACACATACTATTGTTTCTGTTATATGGTAGCAAGATATGAAATTAATTCATAATTAAATTACAATTCTAAATGTAAACATGTTATAACCATTTTTAACAAACCTATTTAGTTTTAGAGTAATGCTGTCAAGATCCAAATCAAGATAGTCCGCAATAAATTGGCCGATATAGGTGTTCTAAACAAAGTGAACATAAATTAATATAAAATTTCAATTGACTTTACGATATTAATCAATGCAAATTACTTCGTGATTTCCACGTAATGGTCCTGTGCTTATTCCATGTGCGAAAAGACTGACGTCGACACCTGTATGGCCATGTGTTGTCCACTATATTCATAATAAAAACAGAAAAGGAACATATCGAATCTCAATGCTTAAACGCCAAAATTACAGTTGATTTAATGAAGAATGTTAATTACACCCAAACGAGCTCTCCAGCTTGTCAAATTAGCCATATAATATTCATAATCTATTTTTGTTTGATTTGCAACTAAGAATTTTACTTCGTCATCCGTAAAATCATCAATTCCTAGGCAATTGCGTAAAATGGTATCTTTTACATAATTCTCTCGATCTGTGTTCCAATAATTAGACAATTCCATAGCTAAGGCATATGAAGAATTTTTTATACGAGATATTACATCAGGATACCTAATATGATATATAATCTATTTAATAGTACACATGTTGATGGATAGAGTGTATAAATAAATAAGAGTATACATTTAGTTTCTTTTTTGATAGATTATGTA